GTAAGATTGGCACATTACTTCCACTCTCTAGACAAGGGCAAGTCATATCATATACAGACTCATAATTTATCAATTTACGTCTTTGTTGGCCACATTATTTGGAACTAGCCTCCAATCGTTATCGCGTTATTGATCTCTGTGTTAACAGAATTGCATCATAATTCAACAACAAACTCTTGTATTTTTAAAAAACATAAAAACCCTTCTTAAAAAACTTTTCTCTCCTGTTTCCATAAGTACAAAAGAAATGGAATGCTCACAGCCACCATGCCCAACTGTTATTAGGAATCCTAGCGCCAAGTCTGAGAACCTTTCCTTGCCACCGGAATTTCATACGTTCCCGCAGCTCGATGGCTGATCTACTGGCATGCATCGGCTGAACGGGAGTGGACACATATGTGAACGTGAATAGAGACAATGCATTTTGAATTCCACGGTGCTTCGATGGCAGACTACTCACCAGTTCAAAGCTCACCGCATCATCAATCTCGCCACCAGAAACAAGTCTGCTGCTGTTTCTGCAGACATTCACCACGTTGCCAGGCACGCCCATTCCAGACATTTTTCGAGGATCAGCGAGCACGTAATTCACAAAAGTCATTCGCGTGCACAATGTCAGTGTCCCGCAATGTGTTCCCTGGAAGAATTCCTCGTTCGTGATTTAAGTATGAGCGCAAGTAAGAATTAGTGTTTTTCCACTACTGCAGTCTCGAGATCAATCCCTTCTGAACTAACTCCCTTGCTCATATAATTGACAGCAGACACCCAAGCTGCTGTTTAGTCATGTATTCTGTTGATCCCGACAGCATTTGTAAAGGAAAGCAGTTATGTAGCTTCAAGTTTTTCACAGATTGTTTCAACCTCCCAATTTCGAGGAAATTTCACTATAGGTAACAGATGGATACCTGCATGGGTAGCTAGACGCAGTCACTTATCTAAGAAGTGATTCGCAGTTTTTCTTCTTGACCCTCTTTCTTACCAACTCTGCACCATCCTCAACGTAAAACTGCCCTGTCTTTCCGATCACAAGATAAACATTTGGTCCAGGAGGTCTGGGCTGAGACCCGAGAGCATTCCGACGAGTGTTGAGAAGGTCAGTTCGATGAGGAAAGTCCTACGTCTGCGCATCTTCAACACTGCATGTGGTCGGAGCATGCAGACATTTGATTAAGGTTGAGTTCCAGGAATTGGAATGCTGCTTTATGGACTGTCATGTTTTTAAGTTCTGGAAAAAAACTCTGTATCTGAACGTCCACAAAAAGTCCAACTGCGAAAGCATTCGTGCTACGAAAGTAGCATATTTCTACAGGTGACAGGTTTGAGCGAGCTGGCCTTTTATAGTATGCTGAGATGATTATGATTATGTAGATGATCCGAATCAAAACTGCGAGTCCAGTTTCAGCAATGTATCTACAGAATTCTGTTTGTCCATCAGGAACAGAGTTCAAACATTATTCATAGAAAGAGTTTCTCTCTTTTAGGGTTTAGGGGCAGATTTTTGTAGTAGAAACTGATATCTTGTTCAAACACGGCTACTCGCTGAAATTGAAAACAAAGCATGATGTTTATTCCTGTCCATTATACAGTTGTTGGAACTTCCTCATGCAAGGACAGAAGAATCATTCAGGTATATGTATCGAAGTTCAAGGTGAGCAACCCCACGTTTCAATGAAAAGGATCTCATCATTGTGAGACTTGCAACAAGACATACTGAACACTCCGCTCTCAAAATGTAATCTTGATAATTAAAACACTGATCTTCTTGAAAAACATGACTTCGCAGATTGACATGATTACATAATTTATAAAAGGCCACCAGTCAAAACTGTAAGGAAGAAGGAACTTGACTAGGGCGGAGATTTACACACTTTGCAAATCTTTTTTTGAGTTATATACTAGAAAGAGAGCCAAAGTCAATGAGTTGGATAACATCTTATCCTTGTGTGAAATTACAAAAAGAATTTGTGAAAGATTATGACACGAACTTTAGTGCTGGATGCTATGAAAGTCAGCCAGCCCTCCAACTCATTCCCCAAACAAGAATCTTGTTTGGGAGAAGATGTTTGCTTCAGAAAGGGCCATACACAAATTAAAACACAGAAGTCGTTGGTTTGAGGAAGGGTTCGAAAAATCCATTCTCCAGCAAAATCTTAAATTGAGATTTGTATTTTGTCACTTCAATTTCTTTTGTACTCCATAATTTATCCCATCTGTTTCTGAGCCAGCTCTTGCCTTGGATTATCCTCATCAGGGTTTGATGCAATTGAGTATTCCCTGTACTTTGAATCGTACCCTACGTAAAAATCAGGTATTAATTATTCAATCTTTACAGATGATTTGATATCATATTCTCTAAAAAATTTATGTAGATAAATCAAATCGAATATTTGTCCTGATTTCCCAAAAGAATTGGAACTATTAAATAATATTTCTTGGAATTTTGTTTGATTTTATTTTCTTCTATTTTTGTTTTAGTTTTCAGACACTTTTATGCATATATATAAAATGTCAATTGTAGAAAAGCAAGACGCTATATTGCACGTTTGAACCCATTGAGAAAAGAAAAGGACAAATTGAAGAGCACCTTAACTACTCTAGGAGACCAGCTTTTGCATCTCCAAATTGTAGTTTGGCTTCTCTGAAAGCTTCTGGTTCTGTTGGAAGGCTGCTTCAATCAGCGTCGCCTTTCCGCCCCTTCCCCACGGGGTCATGGAGATATCTATTTCCTCTCAAAGTGACTTCACGTCTCTCGATATCGGAAACCTTTTGTGGGCTCAAACAGAGAGAAGCGTGTGATGTGCACTGGTGATGGAAATGAGTGGACAGGCTGATAGCTATGCAGGTGAATCTGAACTCCACAAGAGTATTTCGTATCAAAGATGGCGGGATCTGGATGCAAAACGTCATGGAACTCATGGAAGTGAAGATTTCAGATCTGAAGTACTCTGAGATTGTGAAAAACTGCATGTAGAATTGGACTGGGAGAGTGCGAATCCTAGCTAGATCTACTGAGGACAGACCCTACAATGGTAGCGCAGGGAAAAACAGGCATCGTCTTCAATCAGATCTTTTCATTGAATCGTGTGAGCGGTCGATGTAACGACAAGACGCGAACACAACAAGCTCGTTCTTCCACACTCGTTGTGATTGGCATACGGTCTTAGACGGTAGTAGTGAATCTTGACTTTGTTGTGCAAGCAAACAGAATGTGTGGTTGAATGCTTCAGTGTCACGATACAGCGGAGATTTCAGAGTCTTTCTTCATGGAATCAATTTCTTGGAATGTAGGTAGTATGCTTAATTAAATAAAAATATGGAAATAAAGCTTATACTTCTATGGAAATAAAGCACTAAGTAGGATCAATGAACACGAAAATGACAGCTTAAAACCCAGAACGGACTAGAGCAGAATTTCCAAGTGTCTATCTAAGGATTCAAAGAAAAACAGAAAATCCCTTAGTAAATTGAAAGTGTAATTTTCCCTACGAGCGATGGCCAATTTTAAACAGTTTTATTTCCTCACTTATCCCACAGTCTATTACTCTAAAATATATGTCCATAACTCGAAATTATGAGTATAAATTTTTTTATTCATACAGGCATGTCGGAAAATATTCCATACATCTTATGGAAAATGCAAATTAGGCACGGGGCATGCACTTTGAGTGTGTGCCTCCAACTCTAGTCGGAATTCATCCAATGCAATGCAATAGAGTTCATCGTGAGCGCAAAGACGCAAAACTTATGGCCCCTAGAGTGAGTCATCCTCTCCCTGACCAGAAATAGCCCCGAAACCCAGGACTTGAGAGATGAAGATCCACCACTACGTCGCTGGTTCAAGGTTTCAAAAAACTCTAGACGTGATTCACATGCTTTTCGGAAGAAACGGCACTCGGAGTTAGCACACACGCTAAACTTCTTCACCCTCTCTACTCAAAACGCGACATATTAGGGTCTAACCAGTCTCGACAATTCCCGTATCTCCTCGCCACTAGCTAGTTTTCTGCGCAATAAGAACATGTTGAGCACCGCCAGTTTTGCATATTTCTAACACGATATGAATAATTTCAATGCACACGGGACGCAAACATTATATCCAGACAGAGCTGACCGACCTTTCGAACATCCAAACTGCCGTCTCACTGCTCCAACATCTCCATGTAGTGGAATCTCGGCAGCAGGCATTGGGGGCGACCATAAATATCATAGAAACGAGGTTGGAGACTCTATGCAACGATCACTCCACCACCAAACCAATACTCGTGTTCTTGGGGACAACAAACACCGAAAACACGAGGGTGGAGATTCTATGCAACAGTCCAATTCTTTGTCAACCAGCTGCCCTGTAATTAGAAGACAACAAGCACCATAGACACGAGGTTAGAGACTCTATACAACGATTCACTTCTTCGCCAAACCAGCGCCTGTGTCGCTCCACACTCAGCAGCACCATGCAAATCATGACCGACGCACATGGAAGCACTCCTTCTGTCCACGGCTTCATCAATTCACACACAACACGACTTGCATACCAATCCTGACCATCTCTCCCACTTTCTCTCATCTTATATCTTGTTGGTTATATCAATTGAAGTTTGTACAAGTATCGCGGTCCTTATTATATTAATCAAACTAGGTCCTGCATCCTCTCAAAATGCTGCAAGAGACTCTGTAACTGAACGTCCACACGCAGTCCAACTGCAAAGGCTTTCATGCTACGAAACTAGCATATGTCTACACGTGACAGGTTTGAGCGAGCTGCCCTTTTATATTATTCTGAAATCACGGCCAGCACGACGCATGTTATCAGGGTGTAGACAGAGAAATGAGCTTGTCAACCTTGACCTGACACATGGCTCACTAGGACTGAAATGCTGGAATGTGGATGATTCTTTTTGCATGTTCAACAGGTTCAAGGAGGGCAGCGAGCAGTCTCCTCGAATACATTCATATGTGAAGATGAAGATGGGAAGCATCGAGACAAGATAAGAGACAGAATTACATAACTTTTAAAAGTCCTGTATCATTGAAAATTATAAGGAAGATTATGCAAAGGGTTATATTGCAAGAGAATCTAAACATATGCATGCCAATTGCATAATGACATTCTACTCTCTTTAAAATCCTAACATGTGAAATTAACTTATAAAAAGACGATCTTTTGTCATGCACTTTTCGCACACCCATGCATGCCCACCATTCTTGTACTTCACCTGATACAACCTGAAGATTTTGGAAAAGTTATTTTTAAGCTCAGGCGCAAGAGTTTGCTGAATCCTCAACCATGCTTGGTTCAGCTCCTCGCTCTGCTCCTTGCTCTGGACACTTTTCCGAATTGCCCTACCATCTACTTTACTAATACCTTCTACTCTAACAATATCGGTTTTTAAATCATTCCACTCTGGAATAGCTGCGCCTAACCCGAGGGTCACATCCAATCCAGCCTTTAGAGCATAATACAGGATTTTGTATGAAATGTCAATAACTTTTGGAATCCATCCCCTATTCTCCTTATCCAAGCGCAGCATCAAACCTTCTTGACCTTCGACGGGGTGAAACCCAGTGATGGACTCACACATCAAGCGTAAGCAAACGGTTTCTTTCAGATGCAGACTTGCACTCATCTTGTAGAAAAGCCCAACATCGTCCGTGACGTAAGGTCGCTTTGGCGTTTTGGCCTGCTGGTGTGATTCTGAATACCCGATCATTCTGTCAACATTAGACATGAAGTCATTGAACGTTGACTGCAGTTGTTGTTGCAAAGAAATTATTTGTCCCATCTTCACATCCAATCCCTCCACAATGCTCTTCACTGATCTCACTGTCTCATGCACACTATCAACCTTTTCTCCTAGCTGATGGATCTCAGACAAAACAAGTTGGGTTCCCACACTTGTGCTAGCCTGGCTCGAGCAGCTAGCTGAAGCTGGATTGTAATCTTTCATGTGAGGTAAACTCGAGTTGCTAACCGTTATCTTGCTTTGAGGGTGAGACTGAGCCAAATCATTGTTCAAGCTAATGAGGCTTTGCTGCAATGACTCCAATTGTTGACTGCGCTTTTGTCGGATCTCGTTCACAACTGTTTCCACATCGCTCTCCCACAGCAGATTTGTAGCCCGTTCGAATGTTGCGTTCAAATGCCAAGTTGGAATCGGGGGCCAAGTATACTCATAATGGATCAGCTCTTCCTCCTTCACCAATTGCGACCTATCTAGCGCAATATCCCTAAGTTTCTTATTGATGTCATTAGAGAACTTTGATTTGAGCTCCTCAATCAGAATGGCTCCTCTGAGATGAGTCGGAATCAGCTTCTCCACGCAAATTGTCTGGATCACACCGAGCACTAACGCCACCCCAGGACAGCCGTTCGGTGATGCGCAAAATGATATCAACTCGTGGACAATATTGTCCATAACATATTTGATGGCCGCCTCCTTTGACTTGTGCTCCGAGCATAACATCAAAACATCTACATAATTGTGAGACTTTTCACTCTGAACGTGCTCCACATAGATTTGGTGTCCATCAAGATAAAGTCTCAAGTAATGTCGAGAGAATGTCACCGTCTCCATGGACACAGACATCTCGGATATTAACTTGCGTCTCATGAACATCTACAATAATAGAAAAAAGTTAAATTATTGAGTGAGACATTCTACTCATTTGATATAATCAATGAAAAAAAAAATTGAATTCATCTTACACAAAATACAGTCATAACTTGACGATTTCAATATTTTCTCTTGGTTCATGCATTCATGATTCAACCTCACCTGGAAGCGCGGAAAAAATGCAGCAGTTAGTGACATTGTTTTCAAATCTTCGCATTGAATCCGAATGCCGACAAACTTTGAAGTTGCAACCATAGAGTCCCATGACATCGACACCGCGCGCGCCCCTTCTTGTTGCTTCTGTTCTTCCATGCTTGCATACTCACTGATGAAAGAAGGAATGAAATATTGAGAAGAATCTTCGAGCTTGAAACCCAAATCTAAGTTGAAAAGAATCTTTTCAAGGACCTCTCTGTCAACATTTTGGAAGCGTGATTGCTTTCCCAAAAAAGTTTCCAGCAATCGAGCAAAGACACTTTCACTCACAAATCCGTCCTTGCTTGTGTATGAGTCACTTGACATTGACTTCTCATAAGCATTGGACTCTTCAGCTTGAAAGTGTTGACCCATAGCTATCAGCTCACCCAAAACTGAATTTGTGAGCCAATTTGGATCGACAATGATGTGATCAAGGTTGGGAATATAAATGATGGATCCAACATCATTTAAGTAGGATATGAGGGAGGTTAATAATCTTGGATGATCAACATATGATGGTAGAATGAGTTGTTTCAAGCTAGGAGAACAGAATTCGTGAAACTTTTCTAATGACAAAAGAGGGCAAGTTTTTTCCTTCTTGATGTTTGAAAGCAGTCGGGAAGAGAGTTGAAAACACAATTGAGGAACTCGTGGAGAATTTTCACAGAACAACTTCTTGAACATCTCAAAAATGTGATTTTTGAGAGGAATCACTTGATTCCTCTCCTGAGCATTCACATAAAGAAAGTCACGAATAGGGCAAAGATCCACATAGTTTGCGAATCTTTTTCTGAGTTCTTCCATCATGGATTCAGCCCAAGTCAAAGAGGTGGATGCCATCTTATCCTTGTGTGAAATTACAACAAGAACTTGTGGAAGATTATGGCCTGTGACCTTTGTGCTGGATGCGATGAAAGTCAGCCAGCCTTCCAACTCAGTACGGAAACAAAATTCTTGTTTGGGAGAAGATGTTTCTTCACAGAAAGGGCTATACACAAAAAGAAAAACACAAAAGTCGTTGGTGTGAGGGAAGAGTACATTTTGAAGGGTACGAAAAATCCATTGTCCAGCAAGATCCCAAATTGAGATTTGCATTTCGTCATCGTTCTGCAAGAACTCCACTTCAATGCCTTTGGTCCTTAATAATGTTTCCACTGTTTCCCTGAACCAGTTCTTGTCCTGAATGATCTTCATCAGAGTTCGACGCAATTGAGTCTTGCCTGTACATTGAATAAAAAAAAATGTTATACTTATGATATCTTCAATGATATTTTCTAACAATATATTGTAGATAAATTGGATTGAAGATAATTTCCTAATTTTCCAAAAGAATTAAAACTATAGAAACAAAATTATTTGAAATTTGTATGATTTTATCTTCTTCTATGTCTGTTTTCAATTTCAGACACTTATATATATATATATAAAATGTCAATTGTAGAAAAGCAAGACCTTATATTGGAAGTTTGAGAAAATAAAAGGAAAAATTGAAGAGCGCCCTACCTGCTTTTGGAGAGCCACACAAGAAGAGTCGACCAGCTTTTGCATCTCCAAATTGTAGTTTGGCTTCAGTGAATACGGACATGTACACGGCCCGCTGTTGGTTCTGCTTGAGGGCCGCTTCAATGAGCGCCGCCTTTCCGTCCTTCCCCCACGGGGTGTTGGAGACATCTATTTCCCGGAGGGTCAAGTTCACTTGGAGGAGGGCCATCAAGTCCCTGAACTCCTCCAAGAATCCTCCGTCGCATTGAGAGAAAGACAAAAACAAGCTAGTGACACTTGTGTTCCCACGCAAGCACTGAAGTAGTTGCTTCCATACTCCCTTAAAAATATCTTCGCTCTGTAACTCCAATTCCAGTCTACTCAGAGCTGAGGTTTCTCCAGTTTTTCCATTCATCGAAAGAATACCTTCCATACTCTTTCGGTTGCCACCTGAAGTGGAAGAATAAGGGTTGCCACCTGAAGTTGACTGATATAGACCAAAAGATTTTATAGACTTGATTTCCCCTCGCAATACACTACGTAACAGGTTGAGCGCTGATCTCACGTCACTGTAATCACTAGGTTGGATTTTTAGATGCAGCATGAGATCCTTCTCATCGGAGCTAGCAGCGCGAGCAAGCTCTTCTAGCCCCAATATTGGAAGTGAATATCTCCATAAGTTGACAGTTGTCATTGTGGCATTGTCACGTATGGCTTCGCCTAGCAAGCGCCAAATCTTCACAGGCATGATGATGTCGCCCAATGTCACTACCCTCAATGATCGATTAGAATTGAAAACTTCTGCTAAACATTCCCCGATATCAATACCAGACATTGATATCAGCTCAAGTCGTTCAATGGATCGGTTGCCATCATCTTCGGCCAATGTGTTCAGCAATAAGGCGGCAGATTCACCCTCCACTCCATATAATGCCAATTCTTTTAAAGACGAGTTCTGCTTCAAAGCTTGGGACAAGAGCTCAACGGCCGCCTCGTCCACGTCGTGGGGTGAGACTAAACTCAAAGTTTCTAATTGATGATGACCGTTCAACACCTCAACGATAAACTTCACCGCGTTTGCGTCGCACCAGGCGCGACGTAGTTCTATAGACTTGAGTTTTGAGTGGGAATTTTCTCGCAGTCCTGATGCGAGATTCAAGAAAAATCTCGCAGTCAATCTGCAATATCCTATTGCCAAATGTGTTACACTTGAGGTATTCAGAATTATCGCCAGCTGTAAACCCAAGCTCTCCAAATCCGCTTCGGAACTCCACTTCAGTTCGCCAATTCTCATCTCTCGTAAAACGCTGCTGGACCTAAAACCTCTCAACACTACCTCCCACTCGCTAGCGGTCAACCTGGACATATGAATGTCACAAATATCTCCTACGTCCAGCAATTCAGAACTGCTGATGCAGCTGCCGATTGCCTCCAGCACTCGAAGTCGCACTTGGCTTCGCCACCCTGTGTTCGCGTTCTTCGAAAGCGGTGCATCCTCCGGGAAGAAAATTTTAACTTCTGGACGCCTTAATATGGAGTATTCGGTCACGTCTGGGTGAGACGAACCGGTCGTACTCCAGTCTGACCAGTTTGTCTCTCCCAGACGCCGTATAAGATCTTGAACAGCGGAGGGAACCTCAGTTTCCTCGTCTGCGGAGTCCATTCCCCGTGTGGCAAGTTCAGCAGCAGGACTGACCATGGACGCACCGGCTCCTTCCATTCCGCCCTCCACTTTCATACAGGAACAACCCATTGCTCCCGCGGGCAAATTGTATCCGAGCTTAAAAGAGTCCTCCTCCTCGATTCGCAAGCCCCGTTTACTCCAAGAAATCTGAACTTTTTGTCTCAGTGCAACAACTCGAGTGCATCTGCATGCTGGGCATGAGACTTCTAGCGCGGTGCAACAGGAGTGACCCAGAGTACTCCATGCTCTGCTCATACACGGATCATGAGAGATATATTAGACTTCAAGCCTAGATTATCCAACCTACGTTCAACTATTCTCCAAAACAAGAATCCAAAGTTTCGTTTTAGCGACACTGGACACAATTTGCGGTCGACTTTCTGACACTCCATGAAGAATGATTCGCACCGTCAAGGATCACAAGGTCTTCTAAAATAGAGAGAAGAGTCGCTGATGTGAGTGCAGTTTGAAGGTTTAAGTCGGTCTGGTGAGTTTATCCTGCTAAAAAAGCTTGAAGTTCAAATGTCACAAACCTCTTTTTGACTGGCACAAACTGTGACACGCTCGAAACGAGAAATGGCGGTGACCACCTCGACGAATGCTTGTTGAGCTGGCCCTGCAGTGTCTCTCCAATTTTCAGATCGCTCCTGCATAACCAACAAGCTTCAGTTGATCCTGTAAATGAAAGCAAAATCGCAGCGTCGATACAAGAAGAGATTGCAAACACACAAACAGTCTTAGTGATACGAACGACTAATCGTATTTGTGAGGATTAAGGGATGACTCCACGTCTTCCCTTAAACTCCACAGAACTTGATGTCCGGAAGATCATCGCGTGCGCTCAAGCAATCGAAAGTCTGCTTCAAACAGTTGACGAGATATATACACACCGCAAACATATTTCTTCGAACAGGCTACGTTTGATACAGAGTCCAGTGATCTTGACAAGGATGCCTTTATATTTCTGTACAGCTAGATGTTTAGTTCAGATAGGTGATCGGCGAACATGACAAACAGCATCCCCGCAACAAGCCTTTTGAAATCCCCTCTATTTGCAAGACCCTTGAATTGCATTCCCTGCACTCCGTATCCTAGAAACTGCTCAAGAGTGCGCGCGGAATGCTAACGAGATTGTCCAATAAAACCTCTACATTTTCTGCCAGTTCTCAACGCGCAATCATTTACATATTTGATCACGACTAAATTTTACTCTTATCGCCTTGCAAATATATTTGATCCGTCCACAGGATTCTAAAGAAAAAGCTATGCATGATATAGATGACCGATTCGCAACAGAAATAGTAGAACAAAAGGCCACAAAAGGCACTCCTCAAGGCTACGCTTCATTCTAGAGCGGGCGAACTGGAACATGACATGTTTTTTACACACGCGTGGACTGCGAAGCGTTCGAAGCCAATAGGGACTACACAATACTGTACAACAAAGAAAAGCACAGCACACTCACACAGCACCCCAAGATGCCAATGAGGGCCGCCTTACAATCGAAGACTTGAACGAGCTGTCCATGTCGTTCAAAAGACGAGACGCGCGACCCGATAGCAATCAAACAAGGCTTCCAGTCTAGAGAACTGTCGAACAAAAAAAAGCAAAACGAGCAAGCAATCTCCGGACACGTAATTGATGGCCGCTAGCATCAGAGGCTCAATCCAGCATCAAAATACAAAGTGGGTTCGGAAGAAACTCACCTGCCAGCACATCCAAGTTTGAGCTTGAGGCTACTCCAAGTTTGATCATGAGCAATTACCAGTAACGTAGGAAGATTGTGCAAAGTGGAAGCAGGACACTGTTCGAATTCAATGGAGGGTAAGGGTGAACCTGAATTGAAGGGTGAGAACCTGGATTCTGGTTCCAGGGGAATTTGTAGACTAAATGCAAAAGGGACTTCGCGTATTTTGAGATCGGAAACCTTCCCTGGTTTCTAACAGAGAGAGCTGTGTGATGTGCAATGGTGATACAACTGAGTGGAGAAGTTGATAGCTCCACAGGTGAATCTGAAAACCACAAGACCAGTTCGTAACAAAGATGGCGGGATCTGGACGCAAAACGTCATGGAACTCATGATAAATGCAAATTTCAGATGTGAAGCTATGAGATGTGAAAAGCTGGATGCAGAATTGGACTGGGAGAATGCGAATCAATGAGGACAGACCCTACAATGGGTAGCGCGTGGGATATACAGGCAACTTCTTCACTCAGATCTTGCCATTGAATCGTGGTAGCGGTGGAGGTCACGACAACATTCGAACACAACAAGCGCGTCCATTATCTGAGTGATTGTTTAATAGTCTTCGAAGGTGGGAGTAAATCTTGACTCTGTTGTGCAAGCGAATAGGATATGTGCGTGAATGCATCAGTGTGACGATACACTCGATGTCGTCACTCTGCAATGGAGATTTCAGAGTTTATCATCATGGAATCAATTTCCTGGAATCTGCGATGTACTCAAGCAAGTGAATGCTTTCTGACAACTTAGTGGCAGAAGCATTGTCAGCTTGGCCGACAGAACATGTTGTGCTTTTTTCTTGCTTTCAAGTTGGCCAACCTTAGAATAATATATAATTATATATATGTATATATAATGCATATATATCATAAAATAATTAGTAATAGAATAGAATGGAGAATTGGTCTCATTACTGTACAAAAAGACTTTCGCAGTAAAGAGGAGACATGGGAACCAGACATGACATCAGAGAAGAAGAAGAGTGTGCTCCAGTCCAGTCCAGCAGAATATCAATATCCTCGGGTCCGAAGAGCAATTTTTAGCTTATTCTCAGGGGCCACCGATGTGCCCTCGGATGAGAGCGATTTTGTCTGTAGCGCAAGAGGCGTTTGTCTCCACTCGCCAGCGAGAAAAAGTGTAAGCTTCGAGCCTCTCCCCCGTCGTTGACTTGTACCCGATGGTGACCCTACCAGGCAGGTTAGGGCATAACCGATTAGACTCTTAATCCTTTAACTGTAGTTATTAACCCCTAACCGAACCTCTGAGCAGATTAATTGTTTCGATTAAAGATCCAAAAGATCATCGAACGGTTGTAAACAAATGAAGCCACGGCCCCTAGAGTGTGAGTCAGGTCTCAACCGTTCGATGACAATACTTTATTTTTGGATTTTTTTCTTTTTCTAATATTTTTTTGTTAGGTTCAACCTTAACCACCGGTTATTGGGGGTTATTAATCTAACCGAAAAGTTAAATAATAAATTGATCCCTGAGGGAGGCCCGAAGTGGAAATGGAGGCATTGAGAATGCAGCACAAATTGAGACTCTCTCTCTCGCCATCGAGGTAAGCCCATGAAAAAAAAGGGGCCGCCGCAAACGTTCCTATATGATATATGATGTTCCTATATCCCTTGCTGATGTTCATGAAATCCAGACAATACGTCTGCTCACGTGATATTTGCCCACTTCTCACTTTCGTTCGATCAGCTTGCCATTCTCACTATACACAAAGCACGATACACAAACCTGCAACAATTCACGCTCTCGGGCAACACGTCCAGGAAAAGGTGAGGATACATTTATTGTGCTTGCAGTTTCGTCCATGGTTCCAGGGGCTTGGTTATGTCTCCCAGGGTGCGTTGATAAGTGTGGGGCAACTTCGTTCAGCGTAAATAACCTCCAGTGAAATAACGGGTCATGCACAAATGCCTGCGAATATACACTCATTAGAAACCTGTAATTCCTTCCTGTACCAATGCACCAGTATGTCATCAGAGAGCTTCAATTATTTAGCCTCAAAAACGCAGGTAGTGGAAGCTTCAATTCACCCAATCTTTATGCCCCACTCATATGCCAAGAATTAAGAAGGAGCATGCCGAGGAAAATCGTTACGAAAATAACCAACTAACAAGTCACAAAGGTCCCCTCAAGGACCCCAGTAACCAAACTACAACTTTACAGCTGCATACAAAGAATGTCATACCTCCATCATAGCCATCACACTATATTTATTCGTCCGAAGAACTTGCATAACGCTCTCACAAGTTGATCTGAAATTACCCTCGATTCCACTAACCTCCATAGCTTTGACAAGCATACGTGTCAATCTGAAGGGTACCTGTTATCACCATTCATGCATCCAAACAAAAACAAGGCAACAAGGAGCATCATGAGTAAGAGATTTTCTGTGCTCCCAATTAGTCCTTCATAATCCCAGTAATTTCAATTTGACTTCCAGTGATACGCTGTATTTGTTTTCCTGCTGGTGCCGAATAGACTTTGCCGATGTTATCCATGACGGAACGAGAGGAAATGCTGTTAATATGCTGAAGTAAACTATTGACAAGTATGTAACAGTTTTGTACCCTACAATCTAAAATGGACTGAGTAAGAAAGACTTTCAGAAAACTTCATTTGAGAGTTAGCTCCATCAACGTTCGTGCATCAGTATGTTTTCTGACTTGTACCTTTTCCGGAAACTTCTCCCTGTTCATGGACGCCTCAAAGCTATCGCCAAAATCGATGTGTAGAATCTTCCCGCTGACACGTAATTGAATGTTTCGTCAGTTTCTGACTCACATATTACCACATAGCGCAAAAGTAACCAGAAAGTATTTAAAGACCAAAAAAAATTGGTTTCACGAAAGGAGACTTCGGTGACGAGTGGTATCAGAACACTTTCGCCACATGACTACAGTTAACTACACCCGAGACGCAGGAAACAACCTCAGACGACTGTCGGTCGTTCACAGTTGTACTGACTCTTGACATCCGGCTGTTGGCTTTTGTAATAAGATAAGCTTGTAAAGGGCGTCATCCATTAGAATTGTAGTTATTTACCTGAATCGATCCAACATCAAGTTGCTAGGATGTCGGTCACCCAGACCTAGCAAATAACCGACCTGTGGGAAAAGTAAGAACCGACCAAGTTAGATTTTCAGCACGCGAATTTTGGGGTAGTTGATTGCACAGAACAATTCATAACCCTTCGCAGAGAAAGACATGACAAACAAGCAACCGCTTCCTGCGCTTTGCATTCCGTAGCCTTCTCTATAAAACATTACCATGCTTATAACAGCCTGGCTACGCGTGTAGATGGTGCGACGATCGAGCCAAACCTCAGAGCTCCGACTTTTCAACCATAGAACCTGCGATTAAATATCCACACTTATGTTACGCATAACTGACCAACTAGATTTAAGTGGATTAAGGTTAAAGACGTCACTTGGCAACCTAGTTATGGTTACTTCGTAATCACAACGAGCAGATCTTAGAGACGGAGAGGTCAATCGACTTTCGTCTCATTGAAGTCAATGGACCGAGGGCAAAAGAAGTTTGCTGACTGGATCAACCTACTAATGAGCACAGTCTATAAGCTAAACTCTCAAGTACAAACTCAGGCACATTAAACGACACCATGTGGACCAAAACCGCAGGCATTTCTTCACTGGACTCATTTCATCTAGAACTAAGGAGTGTAACAGGATCATTGTGGTATCAATGTACACATTACCCAGAAAATCTCTTTCAGGGCCGTCTGGGAATGCAACTTCCCTAAGAATAGATAGTCTAATAGCAGAACCTTCCTTAAAGGACATCTAGCAAAAACTAGTTCAATGCCTTCAACGCTGTAATGATGTAATCGCACGTCAGAGATGTCGCTGATAATGAGACAAAGTTTCTTTGTTGACGACGGCGTATGCAGGAGCGAGCAGGTCCTTGACATGTCTAACATTGGCATTTCTTCATTCACGGACAACCTAGCAGCAACAAGGCAAAAATCTGTACGTTACTTCTGTAGTCTTCAACAACGATCGCCACTCATGGTCTTACCTTGGCTAGGTCGTTACCAGACGCCATTACATAACTTATAACATGATTACATAACTTATAAAAGGCCTCTACCAGTCAAAACTGTAAGGAAGAAGGAACTTGACTGGGGCGGAGATTTACACACTTTGCAAATCTTTTTTTGAGTTATCTACTAGAAAGAGAGGTAAAGTCAATGAGTTGGATAACATCTTATCCTTGTGTGAAATTACAAATAGAATTTCTGGAAGATTATGACACGAACTTTAGTGCTGGATGCGATGAAAGTCAGCCAGCAGTAGCGCGTGGAAAACCAGGCATCATCTTCAATCAGATCTTTTCATTGAATCGTGTGAGCGGTCGATGTAACGACAAGATGCGAACACAACAAGCTCGTTCTTCCACACTCGATGTGATTGGCATACGGTCTTAGAAGGTAGTAGTGAATCTTGACTTTGTTGTGCAAGCAAACAGAATGTGTGGTTGAATGCTTCAGTGTCACGATACAGCGGAGATTTCAGAGTCTTTCTTCATGGAATCAATTTCTTGGAATGTAGGTGGTTGGCTTAATTGAATAAAAAATTATATTTCTTGACTATCTTGAGTGCACTCATTTTTACGGAGCTGGTAATATTCGGGCCTCGACCTGGGCCAACCTATTGCTGATACGAATCCCAAACTCTTGAGCATACGGATCCTGGGCGTATGCATTGTGATACACAGTCTGGAGAATATATGCCTCACGGTCTTTCGGCCGTTGACATGTCACCTTCAGTAGAGCCGTAATCTGCTTCTCATTCAGACGTTTTGAATATCGTTGTCCTTCGACTATCTTACAGACCTCCATAGGCAAATGGTTCGGTCGGTCTCGATTTCCCACTTGAAGGCAATGGAGTGTTGGGTTTCGAATGGTGTACTGATACGTCTCGCGGAAGTATTCAGTGACAGTTTTCAACGTTCTCCTTTCATCCACAGGGAAGGACAACTCTTGGGTCGGCTGTGAAGTGAGCCCAGATATGCGGTACTTCCTCCGCACAGTACCACGGTGTGTGACTTCAAGCTTTACTCCACGCAGCGCCTTCTTGATTTTGATACGATCCGCTTCAGAGAGTTGCCTGTTGATATCCTTGTTGAGGAGCTGGGACACAAACTCTGTGACCGGGAGTGGCTCGATGAAAGCAATAAAAGACATGTCTATATTCAACGACTGACCCATCTGAGTTGGACGTATACTTTGGTAGAACCTCTCCAACTTTCGAGCCCATCACCCAGAGACTGGCGATTCCCGAGACCAGGTGACTAGAAAGAACGCCCTACGGGACAGTACCTGTGAGTAGGAAGTTCCCTCCAAACAATATCAAGAACTTGCAAAGCTTCCTGAGGAGCGTCAGCTTGGCGTCCTTGAAGAAACTGGCCTAGGTGATGCAAGTGAGCTCGTGCAGCGAACTTGATTACCACCTTAAATGATCTCTCCCGTCTAGAGGTGCTGCTGCCATCTTCTTCATCCAAGAGGTTGATTTGGAAATGTTTAGACTGGAAAGGTAAAGGGCCAGCCCTGTAGAGACTTTTTGGACCATCGTAGGCTGGTAACCTGCGACCAAGCTCGCTGTCGCGATAAAGTCTTAACTAATTGTTCCATCACAGCTCTGTTTACACCTCGAGACGTGACTTCCGGAGATATTGCCACATCATACGGGTGAAGATCTTTGACAGGAAACTCCTAAAAAAGTGGTTATCCTTGACAATGCACTTTGTTCCAGATAGGCCCCTCCCGGGGCGAAGTGGAAACCTTGATGCTCGACTAGACACTGGAGGACCCTGTCGTACAGGTGATCATGGTCCGACTTCTTCAACAGGTGAAGCGGGCTCCGTAACGTGCAACTGACCAAAAGTCTCCAATGGCTGGGAAGGGGCCGATGTAACTGATGAAGGTTGTGTGCCGAAAGATACTTGAGGTAGGTGAGAGGATGGGACTGGAGCCGGTGCGTGTCCTAATTGTGGATACTGATCGGCAGGACCTAGAGGAGGAAACCCAGGTGGCATGGCTGCTTGAAATGGAACGCCACCCATTGGCTTGTCTCGCCCTGTTGGGATTCTAGTGTGTTGGCCTCCAGACGACTCAGCTGTATATCCCTTAGTAAATTGAAATTGTAATTTTCCCTAAGAGCGATGGCAAATTTTAAACAGTTTTATTTCCTCACTTATCCCACATTCTATAACTCTAAAATAAATGTCTATAACTCGAAATCATGCGTATAAATTGTATTATACATACTGGCATGCCGGAAAATTTTCCGTACATCGTATGGAAAATGCGAATTATGCACAGGGCATGCACTTTGAGTGTGTGCCTCCAACTCTAGTCGGCAGACATCCAATGCAGTGCAATAGAGTTCATCGTGAGCGCAAAGACGCAAAACTTATCACATATGCTTGTCTCAAAGATGCTCGCTCACAGTCTCAAAGATGCTCGCTCACGCTCACAACACTCACGAGCTCCGTGAAACGCGGTGACAGGGGGTGTGGCGGCTGGCACTTAGGTTAATTTGGAAACTAGGGTTTTGACACTTAGTCGCATTTTTCAATACGTTTTTTCGAAATTAGCACTACGAGGAGGCGACGACGACGAAGACGAGGGCACACAAAGGTGGATGACGCAGGCGGCAAGACGACGACAGGACGTCGTGCTGACAAAAACGAGGCCCTCTTGGCTCGTTTTTTCTTGCTTTTTGTGGTTTCTTGTGGTCCTCAAACTCTAGGCGTCTCTACTGAAGGTTTAGTGGAGGCTTTTGTGAACAAGGAAGTTTGCTCCTTTCAACACCGTCACTACGGTTTTCTGGTCATTATTCGTGGCTGGAGATCTCTGGTTGTTTTGTTTTTTCGGGAGACATTGAAGATTCAACTTAGAGGAGACTTCGAACTGTTCGTTGCTATCTCTTCCCCACGGTTAGCTGCGCTCGGCAGCTGACAACTACATTTGTGCATCGCTGAGAAGGCTCTGCCAGAACTGTCTTCAAGGAGGTCTAGGCGTTCGCGCCAAGTTTTTTCTGCGGATTCAGCAAAGAAGAGATCTCCATGCGAGGTTTCAGTGTTCAAAAGCATAAGGGTTTCAAGACCGAGCGACATGTGCGGGAGAATCCGCGGGTTGAGTCAACGAGCAAAGATTGAAGATCGTGTTAAGAAACCTACGAGCCATGACTTTGTCGCGACGAGTACCAATCTCCTACACTCCACAGCAAACATCGACAAACGCGGGGCTGACGTAACCCTGTTCTCGATGTCTCGGTTGAATTAGGGTTTTCGTTCTCCATTGAAGACCTGGGAGGTTTGTTGACGAACACACGGCTGTGCAGTTGCGGGGTGTACTGGGGTAGTGCACAGTCGAAGCAGACTCAAAGGCCCAAGCACAATTGACTCTAACTGCAGGCACCCAGCGAAAGCTGGAAACACGTGTTTGTTTGTGTTCAGGAGGTACAAGCACGTTGCACCGACGGAAGTGGAGAATTAGGGTTCGGTTCACTGAAGACCTGAGAGGATCGACGTTCACTCGGCTGGACGTTAGCGCACACTCCATAGCCCCAACCCTGGCCGAAACACGAAAGGAAGGAGGGAGGTTTAGGCGATGGTACTGAAAAAACCGACACCCTAACTAGACGCGGATTAAGGTTTTAAGTGCTCGTGAGGGCCTCGACATGGTGTTACCTCGACGGCAATCGTCACAGTCAGATAGGAAACCGCCAGACATCCCGAGAGTAGGGGAGGATGGAGAAAAACTTCAACAGCAACACCCAGCCCCGCCCTCCAAACCGAAAACATCCCTGACTCAGGGAGTATCCACAACTAATCCGAGCACCTCTGAACGCCCCCCTGCACACACTAGAAACGAAGTTATTGAGTCGGAGGAAGGGAGCAGCAATGACGACGTCAGCGAAACTAGTGCAGATTCAGACTTCGTCGAACAAGAGGACACAGGGGTACAAGCTGCACAGGACCTGGACGAAACTATGTTACTTCTCAGTCAAATCAACATCAGAATCCCAACACAAGAGGTGGAGAAAAGGCGAGAGGAAAAACAAAACCTTACAGCGATACTCTACTTCCTTGACAGAGGGCTAGGCATCGAGCAGGTGACAGACTGGGTAGAAAGCGAACTAGTTCGCAACAAGGGCCTGAACGTCTCCGAAACGCTATGCATGGGTAACCGCAATTTCCACATTCGATTTACAAATCAAGGAGATAGAGATCAAGCTCTGTCGAGAACGAGACTCACTCACCTACGTCGGGAATTTATCATCTTGAAGTGGACCCCGGAAGCTGAAGATCACCAGTATATTCCAAACCAATATCCTGTCTGGGTTAGGTTCCCCGAACTGACGACCCTCCAGTCCCAATGGTTACCGGAACTCGCCAGCTTCCTAGGACCTGTTCTACTCCCACCAGGGCGCATGCCAAAAACAACGCAACGTATGTGCAGGGTCTACGTGAAGTGGACACATGGCAAGACGACTCCAACCAGTATTGTAGCTGAGTTAGTGAAGGAAGTGGCACGAATTCCAGTGGATGTCACACATCTTCCAAGCTCATGTTTCAAATGTCGAAAGCATGGACACGTTGCCAAAACCTGCCCAGGAGATCCGCTGTTTCCGCAAACAAAAGGAGGAACAAACGCAGGAGAAAGACGCGAGCAGCGGCCTCCAAGAAACGCAGCTGCACAACAGGTGAACAAGGCAGGAACGAGACCACCAGAGGCGTCAAAATTGCAAGAACCAGCCACGGTTCAAACAGCAAACATGCCTCCTCGAGCTCAACCAGGAATTTATCAACCTCCTGCAATGAGGAAACAGGAGGCTTTGCGAATTGCAAACCTATCTCAACTTCAAGATACTTCTACCGAACTTCCCCAACCAGAACGACGACCATCAAGTGGAGGGTCCAAGAAAATTTCCCGACTCGAAATCGTTCCTACGGTCTTGCAAGTTTCACCTGCTGCAGTGATGAGGGAACAGTTAACGATGCCCGCTGATGGCAACATTTCTGCTCAAAGATCCCAAGGCATGGACCAAACAGAGGTGTTACGTAGCCCCAACCTCCTTCTAAGGTGGAAGGATGCACCAAAGGAAGCCCTCACCTTCCAGAGTCACAAATCTGTTGGGAATGCAGAAGAAGGCACAGCAACGTCACTGACACCGGCGCCTAGGAGGTGGAAGCAAGCGTCCAGACGGAAAAAATCTGTCACGACCGAGGCTACTACCGAAGCTATAGGAGCAAAACGCAAACTAACCCCTGAATTTGAATACCGGAATAAGATTCAAAGAGGACTTGGCAGCCCGGCTGAGGTAATTGTGTCGTCACCTCCTGAGTATTCTCTCGTCCCCAAGCAACTATTGCCCATCCTATCATCTCCTGAAATCGAGTCCAACACGGGTACGACTCTGGAGATAGAGAAGGGCTGCAGCGAAGGCAAATCGGAACAACAAGGGAGGATGACCTCCCAGGACCTGAACGCCCTGACTGGTGCAGAAGACGAGAACGCAACCGACCAGAAAGCGGGTCCCAGACCTAAGAAACAGAGCGCCAAAGAGTTCCTCGCAGCACTGGCGCCAAAAACCCGAGGCATGAAAACTGTCTCGACAAAAAAAAGGGAGACGAGGGCAAGAAAGGGAGCAGAAGAGGGGTTGGCTGAAATACTCCCCCAAGTTGCGCCTCGACCCTGTAACTCGGCGGGGAGTCCAGCGCTCGCTGAACCGACTACAATTGATGACAATTCTACCACCATGCGCGGCCGGGCGGCCTTTAGTGAGCAATGAACGTCATCCCTGCCCTGTAAGACCGGGTGTTGCACATATGTACTAAGTCTTAGAAGTGGTCAAGGGAATAAGGATGATTAGCCAAGGCATAGCTAAGACTAGCTAGTTATGACTAAACTAGTTAGTTATAACTAAGTTTATCTAGTCATGACTAAGTTTAGCTACAATGTCTATAGTTGGCGGAGTAATTAGCGGAGTTCTAGAAAAATGGAGTGAGCACTTCTATTTTGTCTTTTACAAGGAGTGAGCACTTCTATTTTGTCTTATACAAAAGTTCTAGATTCCAAGGGATTAGATATTTGACTAGAAGCTTGGATTTGATTGGTTTGACTAAATGTATGAAAGATGATTGGCTAGACTAAGTCTAATGTTGACTTAGTGGCTAGGAAGCTTGTAGAAGTTTAAAAGCTTCAAATGGCATGTCGCCACCTCAACCTTGGATTCCGGAAGCTTCTAGAGGGTTTAGGTAGGCCAATGGCATGTTGCCACGTAGAGAAGGTTAGTCAAACTTACCTAGGTAAAAGTAAGTTAGGAGAAATTACCACATGTTACTATGGTAACTTCTCAAGTAGTATAAATAGAGAGGTAGAGTAGCACCTCTCAAGCAAGTTTGGAGAGTCATGTGTGAGGACTTGTTTCAGGAATGAAGGAGTGAAGTTTTTGAGTATCTTGGAGTATCGACGTGTGTTTGAGTTTATGTGAAGAGGGCGATGTGAGTAGAGTTTGTGTGTGAGTTGGAGTGATACATGAGAGTGTGTGAGAGAAGGTGTTTGGGACAAGAGTGAGAGTATGAATCCTAGTCTTCTAGAACCATGATGCGCTACCACAAAGCCATCAGAGGTAAACCTGAGTGAGAGTCAGCCCGGAGGTTGCATTTTTGGTTCCGTTGCCGGGACCTCAATCTAGAAGGCGGAATGTTTAGGATTCGATTTCTAGCTCGAGAGAAAGTATCCATGAGGGATCACTTGGTGTTAACATTGGGGAATGAAAGAGCGGAGAGTGTGCTTGAGAGCGAAATTCCCTTTGTTTATCCCATAGTCTCATATGATAGCTTAGAAGTGATTTTGTATGTTTTGTTCACGTAAACATGTCTTTTTGAGAGAAAATTGATCTTAGACACCGAAAAAGTATTTTTGAAGGTATTCTTCAAAGTTTTATTGATTGTAGATTGGAAGATAGAAAACGTTCACGTTTTTGTTTCAGGTCTAGATCATGTGTAAACAGAAAGATATGAGAGTTAGAAGTTGAGTGGGTTTTCACGGGTATCAAAAGTCTGCTCTCTGGAAAGTTTGTACAGAGTTGATTACTTTTTCTTTATTTTGAATTAGGCTTTGAAACTTCGTACGAGTGTGTATTGGAAGATAAGCTACGTTTGAGTGAAAATTTCACTGAGAGATCACGTCTAGAGACGAAGTTATGTTGATTTGAAGTTGAGGGGGTACAAAAGCAAGATAACAAAGCAAAAGTTTTTGATTTCTCTATTCACAGTTTTCGTCAAGTAGATAGCGTTTCTGGGAGAGGTCTTTTGAGTGGTTTCTACCTTATGGGAAAATGAGTGAACAAGAAAGTTGGAAGGTTAGGTTATCCAAAGTACCTCAAGGCTTGGATGTTATAGTGTCTTTAGACTCCAATACAAGAGAATTCAAGGTGGAGTTTGAAGAAAGAGTAGTGAGTCAATCTCCAAGAGTCAAACGTGAAACTTGTTTTTATTGTGGAGAGGAGGGCCATAAGGTTGTCAATTGTTCCCTGCGGAACAAAGATAGAAGATTGAGGAGCAAGAGGAACTTGGGAGATTTGAAACTTCACTTGGGACCATCATCGCCACATGAATCCCAAAGCGCGACCTTCTGTGACAATTGCGGAGTGATTGGGCTACCAGCGGGACACGAATGCAGCGGAGTGAAGGCACTTTTGGAATCACTTGTGGAAGGGTTTGACGGCAAGCTAAGTGCTGAAACAGAGAAAGTGACCTCAGCGGGCTCAAGCTCCAACTGAAGATGGAGATCATCATTCGAATGATGGAGAAGATGATGATGAGGGTAAGACTCATTGTATGCCTAGGAGAGGAGAGAGCTTTGGCTATCTTGGAACAACCAATTCCTTTTGTGTTTCCTTTGATGAATTACTCAAGGATGGAGTTAGTGTTGTTTATTTTGTATTAAGAAGCCCCATATAAATTTCCAATAGAATAGAAGAAAAAAAAAAAAAAAAAAAAAAAATTTAGTTGGAAATGGGGAAGCTTCCGGTATTTTATGGGAGGGAGAATGAGGATGTAGAAGCTTTTGTTAGGGACTTCAAGAGGGCTTGCATAGGAAACAATGAGAGGAAGAAAGATGAGTGGGCTATGCTTTTGCCGGATTTCTTGGAGGATTCTGCTCTCAAGTGGTACAAGGAGTACAAGAGGGAGCATTCGGAGGACGACACGTGGGAGACATTAACGGAGAACCTGATCGAAAACTTTCTTCCCAGTGAAAGTTATGAAAAGTTGATGTGTGAGGTCACCTTCTTGAAACAAGGAGAGAACGAGAAGGTGAGGACCTATGTGGAGAGAACCGAGAAGTTGGAATCTAGATTCCACGTGGTGTTGAGGAAGGGCGGAGACGAAGTGGATGCTACAATGGTGGGGATAAGGGCGATGCTCATGAAGAACTTCGTTGGAGGTTTGAGACCTGATATTCGAAGTAAGGTGAGATACGAGAAGCCCTCTTCTAAGGCTGAAGCCATTCGAATTGCTATTAGAATGGAGGAGAGCTTAGAAGATGATGATTCTAGCTTGGTGGCTAGAGAAGTAGCTCCACCGGTTGTAGGAAGGTCCATTGTTTCAAACCCTTCTACTTCATCCACGATAGCGAATCCTAGTATGGATTTTCAAAATGAGTTGAAATCTATCACGGAGACTCTAGCAGATCTCAAGATCAATGTAGTACAGTTGTGGGAGAAGAGGAATCAGAACGTAGGAGGAGGCTCTAGGGGGTATGGAAATTATCCTCCAAGAGGAAATCCACCTTCAGGAAACTTTGCAGTTTCTTGCTTTTCTTGTGGAGGTCCTCATTTTCAGAGGAATTGTCCTAACCCTCGACAACATGATGGAGTTCGGCACAACAACAATGCACCGGCCACGCAACAAGCCAAGGATAAGGGAGTAGCATCCATTGATGTATTCCCTCATCAATGCACTTTTGAGAAAGGGGAGAGCTCAAAATCGAAAGTGGATATCCTTGCTCATGAGAAGAAGCGTGCCCGATTTGCGGACGAGTCAATTTTCATGGAGGACACGCCAAGTCGAAGTACACGGTCAAGTGGAGTGAGTCAACCAAGAGTACCAAGGAAGAAGTTGGGCATGGATGACTTTTCCATTTCATCTTCTCAAGCTAAGTATGACGTGGTGGAGGATGTGGGAAATCAGAAGGCCAATATAACAGTTGGTCAGCTGATTGCCTTGAATCCAGCCATTCGGAAGGAGTTAAGAGGAGGTCTTAGCTCCACAAGGACCAAGAAGCGGAAATCTAAGGGGAAGGCTCACATGACCAATGTGGGAGTTGGGGTGGTGGATGCGGCTGCTTCGGAGGTATGTACACATGCTTCAAAGATCGAAGTGAGGATCAATGGACATGATGTATCAGATGTGTTGGTTGATGGTGGATCGGCTGTGAATGCCATGTCTGAGAGGTTGATGCAGAAGTTGGGTATGCAACCTTCTAGACCTTCTAGCATAATTGTTGGTATGGCCAACAAACAGAAGGTAAGACCACTGGGGGTGGTAGACAAAGTTGTGGTTAGTGTGAGGGGAGTGCAAACTTTGCTTTCCTTCCAAATTCTCAAGGAAGCTAGCTACGACTTGCTGTTGGGACGTCCTTGGTTGAGGGCGGTAAGGACTACGGACCGATGGCACAAGGGCTATTTGAGGATAGGCCCAAAGAACCATCGAGTTAAGGTTCCTTTGACAATAGGAGGGGAATCCACCACTGACTCAAATAGACCAACTGACGAGTATTGGGAATCTGAGAGTGAAGAGAGTGGTAGCTTTTCAGAAGTTGACACAGACATCTCAACTTCTGATCAAGAAACATCATCAGAGTACTCTTCTGATGATATGGTTCAAGTACAAGTCATTGCTGCCATGGAGTTGTTGCCTAGGCCTGGAGTGAAGAAAGATCCTGACAAAGTGGAGATGAGCGAAGAGGAGGTGTGTCAACGACTATCCACTCTCAGGTTTGGTCCCAAGGTTACCAAGGAGGAAAAGGCAAAGTTTCTGGATATATTTCGCAAATATATTCATGTTTTTGCCTTTAGTTACAAGGATCTTAAGCATGTGACGTTGGAGACTCATCGCATCGAGTTGGAGGAGAAAGCTCGTCCTATTCGGCAAAAGCAACGCCGAATAAATCCACCTACGGCTCTTGTGGTGAAGGAGGAGATCGACAAGCTCAAGGAGGCTGGCTTCATCTACGAGGTAGAAAATTCTGAATGGGTGTCTCCAATTGTGATAGTGAAGAAGAAGAATGGTAAGCTACGAGTGTGCGTAGATTACAAAAAGTTGAATGCTGTCACAAAGAAAGACTACTATCCCTTGCCTTTCATAGATGAGATTCTAGAGGAGGTTGCTGGCCATGAGTGGTATAGTTTTGGAGATGGTTATAGTGGCTATAACCAAATCCAAATTGCCTTAGAAGACCAACTCAAAACAACTTTTACCACTCCATGGGGAACCTTCGCTTTTAGAGTGATGCCGTTTGGTCTATGTAATGCTCCTGCCACTTTTCAAAGGTTCATGAATAGAGTGTTTGAACCTTTCATTGGAAAGTTTGTAAGGGATTTCATAGATGATTTTTGTGTTTACGGGAGGAAAGCGGATCATTTTGATCATTTGATCAAAATACTTCAACGGCTGGAGGAAGCTAAGGCTTCACTCAATCCAGAAAAATGCATTTTTGGATGTGAGGAAGGCCTATTGTTGGGGCATATCATCTCCAAGAATGGTATAGCGGTGGACCCAGAGA